GTTACATCCTCAATTTAGTGGCGTTAGCTAGTTTACGACAACAAAGCCTGTATTTTTCAAATGATAGAAGCCAGTTGAATTTTCCTCTATGTTTGAAAGGTCGGTTGTTTAGTTTAGGAGCTCTATAAACATCACTTCCACTTGGTAATAGACGCTAGAGAAATTTCTCCATTCCCGGTCAGTTGTACATCTTTTCAAATCACTTTTGCCACTCTTTCGTTTTACTTATTCACTGCTTTTTCAGTGAAGTGCTTCTCACATTAATTATAAATGGAATTTCTTCTAGTTCAAAACACTCTCGTATTCCCTCTCTGTCTGTATTACGCAGTAGTAATTGTGATTGATGAAATATTCTCATGTAATGTTGAGTGTGTATAATATATGTGCATGATAAAATATTTTCACATAATGCTACGTGTATAGAATATATGTGCATGTATGTGTATGTATAAGTTTTTTGCTAAATTCTAACACAAAGCCGAGCTCAACGCAAATATAGTGAAGAAACCATGCGTCGCTATTTGAAATCAGTAGGCAGAGTTGATAATGAAATCAAATTCACAATTTCTAACTTTCTATAAATAAGCAATTTGCTAAATAACTATAAATATCTTTGTTTTTTCAAAATGAGCGACAATCTCGTATTGACTTTTCAGTGGAAGGTAACACATACATATAAATTTTTGTACAGGAAGAAATTAGAAAATACAAATGCATTAAAGTAAAAAAAAGATAAGCTAACGTTATAACTGAATGAAAACATAATGATCTTATATAAAATAGAACAATAGTATTTGAAATTCATGCATATTTTGGATGAGTGAAAAAAGAATACATACACGAATGTTGAGCGGCATTCAAAACATTTGATGCCACGCGTGAATCGAACCTAAGTCCCATCCATGCCACGGGCACGCGCTAGCTTTACACCACCAAGACCACGGTTTGCTACCACTCTTTCTTCAGTTCAGTCAAAGTTCTATGTAAGAGGTTCTTTTCACTCGATGGTGATTCTGACAATTTCGCACACTAATGATATAGATTTCTAACATTTAGCTCGGAACAAAGCTCTGATTCTCAAAAGCATCATACTTTTCCTCGTAGAGTTTTCATAAAGAAATTTAAGTAGCTGGCCAATGACCTTCTTTCTGTGTGTTAGATATCATCTGGAATCAGTCGCCAATGGTCCTAATGTTCACTGGTCGTCGTTAGGCCTCCCATTCGCCCTTCCTGATTTACGACGGCGTCTTTGGTCTGTGCAACAGCTTCTCTAGTCTCTGATGGTAAACATAGCTTCTAACTATGGACGAACGCCTTCCTCTCTTACTTACTACGATGCAGGATATTTTACCGCCATTCGTTCATCATAATTGTTCAATGGTGCTGATCGATCTTTCGTTCGTTTTTGTATTACTCAGGGCTACGCAAAAGTGGCGGAAACCGTCAAGTTGAGTACAGGTGGACACAATATAGCATTCATTTGCCTTTGTCTTTATCCTTATATAAAATGGTCAAGTATTTATTTCTCGCTATCACATATCCGGCTTGGATCAACAGCCTAAAAGGGCTTGAAGCTTTCGACGTTGAACAATCCTTAGTGGATGCACCAAATATTTTCAATTTTATAGGTCATCACATAGAAGTGATTGAACGCCCATTTGGCTTACATACTAACTTGCGAGGGGCTGCCGATATGTCAAGTCAACGCTGTGGACTTCTTCAGGCAAGACTTGGCGATCCAGAGGCGTGGTATCGTTTCACGTCTGTATTGCGAGGCATTTTTGACGATGAGTACACTTCATTAGCAGCTGAAACACTAACCTGTATGGGACAGCGCATTTATTTTCTTTTTGGTCCAATTCGAATACAAATAGATGTTGATCCCACCACAAAAGGCTAATTATGAAAGTTCATTGTGAATGGGATAGAATTATATAAGAGACCTCTACTGTCGACCGCTTTTTATAGACCCGCTCAAAACGATATAATCTGTTAAGGTTATAACATGATTTGAGCCGTTAGATCTAGTCCTGCACAGGCGCCTGTTTCCTCCTATTGGGACTCATCAGTAATTCCATTATCTGACTTGGGTGATGATCTATTTAGGGCATTCAGGGGATCGGCTGAACCGAGGGAGGGCGCTACTGATGAGTCCCAATAGGACGAAACAGGCGCCTGTATAGCACGAGATCTAACGGCTCAAAACATATTTATATCCTTATATAAGAGACTTTGCTCTAACGTTCTATGAGTATGAGCGATATGTATACAACTCATTAGTATGCGTTACTATGATCCTTAATACACACAAGGCTCAGCATATGGTGCGGTTCTACGCTTGATGTTGATTTTATTTTGATATTCTTCTTATTTGCTCATTCCATAAAACATTTCATCAAAGCAATTGAAATGAGCTGATTGTTGATTGTCAATCAAATTACCGATCAACAAGTTCTTTGAAAAAACTTTTGTTTATTCTTAGATGCACAAAATCACTTTTCCTCTTATTCATCCTATGTTTTCGATTAGCTATCGAGTGATCATACGCTAAATTCGAATCCCATTAAACTCTAAATGAACACTATACTGTACATGCTGTCTTTTGGTCCACTTTGCGCGGTGCAGTGTACATACTGTGCATGCGGGCTGGAATGAGTTGTATTATTGCTTTTGGCCATCGGTTTGCGACGAAATGTTATTCAAATGCAATTTTCAAGCTTTTCGCATAACTCAACACGATGCAATGTTGTTTGAAGCGCGGTGAAACTCTGTGGTTTAGAGCCGATGTGGAGTTAATTTAAAATCCTTTTGTACTCACCAAAAGACCTTGGATACCCATACCTTCATGACGGTCCTCTTATTAGTGATATTTCAGTGAGCCTTAATACTATGAAGATATGGTCCATAGTAGTAAACCCTTATTACGCTTCACGATGGTTATCCTTGTCGAATGTCCTGCACAACCTGTCCTGTTGGAGAAAACTTGAATAAAAAGCGGCATACGAGGGTATATTGATCGATAGTTGCCAATATCTTCGAGTGCGGGTTCCTATTTTTTGCAACATTTATGTTCTCATTGTTTGAGAACTTTGTACTCTGGAAAGCTGCGGACAGAAATTGAGGAAGTGAATTGAGATGAGCTGCAGATCTCAGTGTAGTTCCGTTTCATTTCTTTCACAATTGGTAAACATTAAAAAATCAACGATACTCATAGGAGAGCACTTCAACTGTGAAATGTTTGGCTTCAGTCATTTTTTTTTAGTCGGGAAACGATGCGGAAGTCAATGTTAATACCAGCGAATTTCTTTACTGGCACTTAGAACTAAACTCTGTCGCCTTTGTATAGGTTTTTACAATCCTTTTCATGGTTTCAATTGTGATATTTCATGTTACCATGGTTAGAGGCTGTGTCGTGAATACTAAAAACGTTCCTCCTGCTTTATTCTCATCTAAGCCTTTGGTGAATGCCAATTTTTCTCAGAAAGTAATCGAAATTGTGATATGATCGCATATTTCTTTCTTTCCACCAATAACTACTGGTTTTTGTTCTCTGCAGCTAGTACTTTTATTCCTCTTTTTTTCTTTCGATGCACTCTTAGTTTTATCTGATTTATATTTTATATTTATATTTTGTGCAATCTAACTTTGCATCAGATCTTTCAGAAGGCAGAAAGAGGAGTTTACTTAAGTCACTTTTTGGTGGAAGTTTCAGCCAGGATTTAACGCTTTAGACACGTGGATAAGTTATCGGTCAAAAAATTTATCTTTTTGACTTCCACGTTGGTATCTGGCCTGGCATGTGACGCGGTCGCCGAGTGAGCGGAACGCGCCAGTGACAATTTGATAGTTTTCTAATGAAATGTGGAATTTTATCGTCAATGAATAGGGTTTACTGGTCAGTAAAAAATAGAATATGATAGAAAAGAGTTTAATAAAGCTATTTTTGTTTCAAACAACGCCAGCACTTTTCTGAAACCTTGCGATCTGGTGAGAGAACCAAATGATTACGAGAACGTTATAATTCGAACTGTCAAACATTTCCCTCACTCCCTTATCAGATGATAGAACGTAATGCCAAAGCCTTTCCCGAGACAAATCTCAGTACTAAAATGTGTGTTTTCTAAGCCATCGAATGACTAGAAAAATACTGTTGGAAAGGAAACAAATGTCATACACCAAGTAAATATATCCTTTTGCGAACGATGAGGGTCATTATGACGCTGGGCGTGCCGTTTGGACGCTTTCGAAGAGTGAGGCGTGCTTCAACAGAAATACTGATTAATTAAGTTCTCAGAGGAAGATGATCATCGAAAAGAAATAAAATCTCGCTGATGAGATTCTTGTACGAATGATTTTGGCAAAGTTAATGCTAATGCAGCTCAATATCTTTCTATTTCAAAAGAAAAAAAAAACAATTCACTTGCGAAAAGGATAATATTCCTAGCTGTTATTAAACATTTTCCTCTATCTTTTCATGTTTTGTAGTCAATCGATAGCTTGAAAAATTCTCATAACCTTAGTAAACTTGTTGATCGAAAATAACTACACAGTACGTTCTAATAATAAGTAGAAGGTGACGTTTTGCAATTGCAACCCAATTTTTCTATTTCGTAGCGTTTTTTTTTTAGATTATATGGTTATATAAATATCTCATAATTTTTTGCTGAAAAAGAACTCTATAACTATCATCAGAAGAAGTTTTGTAAACGCTTTTCTAAGACGAATGATGCTCAACTGTCCTTGAAATTCATACTTTTTGAAATAATTTCTGTCGCATCGACCGTATTTCAAGGATTTCGCGCGTGAGTCCTTGGTTTTTTTTATATATTATCAAACAACTAGTATTTGTTCAATAGTTGAGATTAAATGAATTTGAACGGTGCATTTTATTTCTTAAACTGCTCGTTTTTTGTGTTAGAAGAGTAGAGATAAAATTTTCTTCCACATTTATGAATACGTTTCAATATACCCAATGATGTAGAGTAGTGTGCAAAAACGTTTGTGTCAACCGGGATTCTAACCCAGATCATACTCTTCCCGGGAGCATGTGCTAAACGGTTGCACCACCGCCACACCCTAAACGGTTGGATGGTGACAGATAACACATTGTAGCGTAGAAAAAGTGGAATGCAAAACGAGCGTCGGTGGTGCAACGGTTTAGCACATTCTTGCGGAAAGAGTAAGATCTAGGTTTAAATTACGGCAGAAGCAAACGTTTTTCCACACCACTCTACATCATTGGGTTCATTTAAAACATCATAACACCGCGAAGGCGGTCGAATAAAATGATTTCCTATCGATTTGTTATCGGATAAGGTTCCTTCTATGAACAATCAATAGCCGTTTGATAGCGCAAATCATAACGTATTTAAAAACCTAGCTGTTTTTTGGAGAAAGCTCCTTAGGGCATTGTAACTGTCAAAGAAAGATTGGGTTTCACACCCCAAAGGGTGGGATTTCATGGCATTGGTCCCAAGTCACCGCGCTTTTTGCAATTATAACTGCAAAACGTAATCTTCATTTGACTGCTACAGTTTAACAAGTTGTTTCTGAAAACAAAGTAACTAGGGGAGTAGTTGCGATTTAAGCTGAAGAACAATTTCTAAAAGTTTTGCGGAAAAACTTGGTTCAGCAAGAAATGCTTGAGTGTGAAATAATATTCTATTTTTACTGCTAGAATGTATTGAAGAAGCCATCCTGACAGCAAAGTATACCTTCAAAATTGACGACTTTTTTGAAATTGACGACAGCTATCAAGCAATTTTTGGATCCTTGAAAGAATTAGAAAAAGCGATTTTCTCAAGAGTTCAAATCGGGATGCGGATGTAGCGAGTGGATCAAATTTCCGAGATCCAAAATTTTTTTCGTTACAGCGCTACAAGGAGTCCTTTCTAAAAAACAATTACATCGTTGAAATTTCGTAGATTTGCCTTATCTAATGATTGTCCAGTGAGAAATGCTTGAATGTGAACAAAATCTTATTTCGACTGCTATAGTGCAAAAAAAAAACCGCAAACGTTTTGAGAAATAGATTACGTTGTTCAAATTCACTTTATTATAGTTATCGATTAGTTGCCAAAAAGTTTTGCAAATGTGAAAATACTTCTTTACCAAAGTGCTCAAACAGGGTGGAGTTACGGAAAGGAACTTCTATACTTCTTTTATCTCTTCGTATACCATAGCTATGAAATAAGATTTCGAACGACATTACGCAGTGATGTGAGAAATGGGAATGTGAAGTGCACTGATAATCGGAAAAAGAATGTAAAAAATTATCGATGAAGTGGGATCGCGTGCAATAAGCAGAACTATTTCTAACGAACTATTCACTCTTTCCAGTTTCCAGCCGGTATGATGAATTTTATGTACTTTATATAATAAAATTGATGAAAGCTGAAGGAAATGGAAGTTGAATTTGATAGAATGTGGGCAAGTATGGATAGAATATTATAGAAATGCTCGATAAAGGTTCTAAATACAGCCTTCTCATAAATACTTGGTATTTTCTTCTGAAAGTGTGGATTATAGATGAAACAGCTGCGTTATTTCTAACAAAAATAACTTTATTAAAGTCTGTTCTATTATATTTAACCACCTATTGACACAGAAATCCTACATGTTGACGAAAATAGCACACATTTCGTTAGAAAACTACCACATTTGCCTTGGGGCGGGCGCCGGCAGCCTCTGTTCGTAGCCGTCCAAGCCGGCCGCCATCCGAAAATGGCGTCGTCCATAAAGGCTTATGTTCTTTTGGGCAACGAATCTGGATCACTAGATGAAACATAAAGAATTATCCAAAATATTGGCGGAGGGGGAGGGTCAAGACGCACACCAATTCGGATACTTTTGAGCGAGTCGCGGCGATCAGTGTATCATATATGATACACAAGGGTTAAAAGACTGATTCACCTCATCGACTGTTTCTTAACCTCGATATCGATATAAGCATTCAATATAGTCTGTGAGAATGTTTGAAGCCCCGACGTTGTTTCTTCAGAGTCATACATGTGCTTCTGAAGTATCGCCCTTTTTAGGCCCATGTCCCACACTGAACCCTAGCACCCTATACTGGATGAAAGACTTTTTCTATTGCTAAAAACATTACCACTTCGTGTTAACAAAACAAGTGAAATCATTGATATTCATGAATTTCTCAAATGATAAATGTAAAAAGCAAAAAATAGGAGTAAAAACATAATAATGCTAAGAATCTGAGTATGCCCAATTAGAGCATGCAAGCTATCGATACCACGCAATACAAGTGAATAAGGAAATTCCACTAAAAAGGAAGTTTTTGAAACGAAAATCCAGTAATATTGAGTGATATGCAATGCTTTGAATCTTGGATGGGAATCAAACCCGCATCTCACTCTTTTCGAGGTACGTGCAAGCCTAGTGTCACACTACCGGGGCTCCCGCTCTGGTATCACACTTTCCGCCTGATTCTCGTTCGAAGTTCAGAGTTCTGCATATCACTCAACATCATTGGATTTATATTCATAACATCACACTTCTACTGAAAACGGTTGGAATAAAGATTTCTAGAAAACATGTATTAATGTTTGGAACTTTTTCAAGGTTGATACGTCAGTGGCATACGTACGTTCCGGCGGCATCGCTTGCTTCATCAGAGCTACATGTCCCACACTGAACCCCGCTTTATAACATGGACGGAGAGACGTTCAGGTGGCAACACATGGTATTGTGTTGTCACCATTTTTTATCTATGTATTATCTAGCACGTCTACATATTCTCCACTAACCTTAAGCCACCGACTGAAAAATAATGGTGATAGCATAATATTCTATGCTATCACCAAAACGTCTCCCCATCCCTTTATAAAGTAGGGTTCAACGTGGGGATTGTGGCTCTGATGAAGGGGCAAACGCCGAACGTATGTAAGGCACTGACGTATCCACATCAAAAATATTTTAAACATTCTCACAGACTGTACTGAATTATCGAAGTTGTATTACCGCGTTTTCAATATAAAGTTCTAATAATTTATATGTTGGCCAAATTGTTATAGACACAGTATACCTTTACATTTGACGCTTCTGTCAAAGGATATGCGGTGATTTTTTATGAGAATCCGGCTTCGATTCCTTTATATGTAGGAGGTATATCCCTCTGCAAGGAATTAGCCGAATCGAAAGGCGCTATGCTTCTAATGAGGCTGCAATGCCAAAACACGTGTCTAGCTAGCACTCTAGTGCTCAGGTGCCGTAACAGACCTTAAGAAAGGCTCAACAATTGTTATCAGATCACGTATGAAAATTATTTCAAAGATTTTGAATCGATCAAAACTTTCTTACAGACCTGAAAATATCTAAGCGGATGAATCGAAATGATCTTGTGCTAATCGTCACCGTTTCACATCAAGAACTGGTTAAAGATTTTTGATTACCATGAAAATACTATTTTGCGGGTAATCCTCAAAATTCAGATCTTTCCAGATACTTGCGATTGGAAGCTTCTGAATAATTATGCAGTAATTTTTTCAGCTCGACGATTTTGTTTAGCATTGCTGAGGATCTGTCTTTACCGCGCGTCACGAAGAACTAATGCTATTGTTAGTGCGGATGCAAAAACGCGCAATTTTCCAGTCCAATAGTTAGGTGCTAATGAAATTTGCTCTCTAGTCGGCTGACACTTAGATGCATCGTCTCATATGTCATCTGGGCCGCCGTAATTTATAAAATCGCTTCGTTACTTTGCAGCTGTCATCTGTAGAAGGATCGAGATAACCCAGTGAGCTCACTGTATGCTTAGACAATACCTCATTATAGTTTATTTGGGGGTGTGTACTGCAGTGCTAAGAGATGCCCTGTAACAGACATGTGGTTGTTGTCTCGATCTCGTGTTCTGCGGGCTCATCAAGTCATTCATCCCTCTGCCGTCGGCGAATTCGTGCCAGGCAGGTCTGGGAGTACAATGGCACCGGCTTGATAATATCGATAAGACCAGTGCAAGCTAGATTCTTCCTCGAATCAGCAGTGATTCCTGTGATTAGCCTAACACCCAATCGATGATGGCGCTGAACCCTTGCTTAATTATTGTGTTATTACAGTTGAGACTAAAAATTGTTAATTCAAGATTAGATAAAGTAATAATCAGAGGTTTGAAAAAAAATGTGCAAATTATAATGGCGGACGAATGACGGGAGGAATACCATATTCTGAAGCTATACAAATCTTCTGTTTCTTGACTAAGAAGCTCTCATTGATGATGATTTTCCATTTCGGTGAACATCAAAGAAGTGTCCTTTGATGTTGGACTGCAATGAAGAACCGTAGTTTCATTAAAGCGACAGAGTCACCTAAACTGACATTTAATCCTATATTAAGTTTTAAAGAGTACAAAAGTGAACTACAGCTATAAGGTCTATGATAAGGAAAAGTTTCTTCCAAGTCCAAAGAATTTTGAGCCAACAAATTCATCTGTATGTCACAAGTTCTTTTCATAGGATCATATTCTCATATCTTCATATTTTTATTTGCTCCACATAGTTCTATCAATCCTGACGACTTCTTCATATAACTTTGTCTAAGCACGATTTTTATTGTGAAAGATTTTTTTCGTTTCAAACAACCGTTAAGTAAGTCAGTCATCCTTTTCTTTGTAAGATTGTCTCTATCGATCAGTTTATGGACCTCTCAGAGAATGAACTAAGGTTATAAGAGTTTTTTTTAGACAATCAACCAATGTTTGATTACGTTACACTCTTTGGCGATATTTTTTCATGTTCAAGTGATGAAGATAACTAAGTAGTGATAATAACTTCCACCTGCGCTGACAACACTTTTTCCAAGGATAAATGATATGAAAGTTAAGTCAGAACGGAATAAGGCATAGGCAAAAAGTGTTTGTTTCAAAACACGTTGTTGACTGGTGAGCTTGAAGCAATTAAGAGAACCTGCTGTTTCCATGAACTGTTGTCCTTAGAGCTACAATTAAAAACTCGGCCACCTTTTAATGAAAGATAGATAAATATCCAGCCTTTATGAACAAATTTCATTTCCTTGTTCATATCATCTTCAATTTTCCAGTCTTTATCTTTTCCTACAGC